TGACCTCCTCCGCCCTGTCCCTGTCCGAGTATGGCACCGACTAGCTGTCGACCAGTGGAAGAAATCTTCCAGTTCCCCTGACGCTCTATGCTTCCCGATGCGCACAAATAAAGAGCTCCAATCTGCCATCATTCTCGCACGAGAGAAGCAGTGGTTTGATTTTGCTTCTTCTATTGACCACTCTACATCTATAAGTGATATATGGACACCATTAACCGTGCCCGGGGCACCAACGCCAGGCCCGCGCTCCACCACAGACCTGCTGCCCTTGCTGAGGCACTCTCCCAGACGTGGCAGGAGGCAGCCTCTTTCGACGCACTACCACTCGCTGTACGTGACTTCACCCTCGCACTGCAACCACAACGCCGACAGCGCATCTCTGAGTACCAAGACCTACCTACCTTTCACACGGTGTGAACTACTAAATGCTGTTAAGCGCGGTCGGTCCACCGCCCCTAGCGATGACGGTGTCACATATGATGTGCTAAATGCCCTTATTGCCACTCCTGGTGATCCAATCCTCTGTCTATTTAACCTCTCTTATGATACTGTACAGCTGCCTCTCTTATGGAAGACTGCCACCACCATTCCAGTCCCTAAACCAGGCAGACAAGACGAATATCGTCCAATCTCCCTTATCTCCTGCTTCTCAAAGATGACTGAACGCATTATTCGCAATCGCCTCCATTGGAAAATTGAAGCCTATCTGCACCCTGACCTCTATGGGTTTCGCCCCGGAAAGAGTACTGCTCACTACATTGCGAACACCTCAGACAAAACTTCCCTCTTCGTCGACTTCAAGGGTGCATTTGATAAAGCCAACAGTGAAGTGATTCTTGAGGGACTCACGCACATGGATGTGAAGGGCAAACTCCTCATGTGGATTGCTTACTACCTTTCCCATCGACAGGCCCATGTCCGTTTTCAGGGCCACTACTCCATGATCAGGGACCTTGATCTTGGCACGCGTCTGGGCGGTGTCCTCAGCCCTATACTCTTTAATGTTCTCATGAACTCCATCTGCCGCCTCAACTACAACTTTGCTGAGCGCGCCCTAGACGGTCACATCATAAGCTGCGCTGATGATATTCTCCTCCAAATTACTACAGTGCAACATGAACAGCCTATACTCTCCACGTTCGCCCGGACCTGTCAAACACTCGGGCTAGTCATCTCACACTCTAAAACCAAGTTCTTCTCACACTTCCGGCGTCAGACACCGCTGACTCTGCAAGGACAGTGCAGGCCCCTCCTGGCCCTCACTCACGGCCTCAAAGGAGCCTCTGTCAGGGTCCTACGTCTCATGTAAATTGCCATTGTCAGAGCTGTCATAGATTATGACTCTCCTAGCCTTGTAGTTGCCTCCCAGCGCGAGAAGCAAAGCATCGAGAAAATCCAAAACAGAGCGATGAGACTCATCCTCGGCTGCCCCATGACCACCAAAATAGAAGTCATGCAGCGGGAATGAGTCATAAAGACAAGCATGAGCAACGCATGCTTCCCAGATGGGCGCTGTAAAAGCTTTTGCGTTTCACCTGGCACAGGATGTAAGGGGGTGCCCAATAAACTAGCCCCCGTGCTGGGCAATAAATAAAAACAGATGAAGAATTCACAGAATCCCCAGGTCAGATGTTCAGAGTGCAAACTTTCACTCTAATCATAGATAAACTGTGGACTTGTCTTGCACAGCGGAAAGAAGCTTACAGAGAACTAACAGATGATTTTGCATTTCTAAAATGTTTCTCAGACCAAAACAAGGAGCATTTGCCAGCTAGAGTAATACATCTCACAACAAAATACAAAGATGATTTTGATTCTGATTGTGCTGATGAATTTGAAAATTTTTATAATTTTATGATCAGATTGAAAGAGAAAATGGATTCACCACTGTCGATGCTCAAGTTCATAAAACATCAGAATGTCAACATCCAAATGTTAGCATAGCTTTGAGAATATTTCTGTCATTGCATGTCACAGTGTGTGAAGCAGAACGCAACTTCTCAAAAATGAAACTGGTGAAAAGTGAAAGGCGTGCTACAATGGGCCAAGATAAGCTGAACTGCCTTGCCATCATGTCCATTGAAAGCGATTTAACACGTGTGATTGACTTTGAAGATGTGCTTTCCCAGTTTGCTGCTATGAAAGCTCGAAAGGCTAACTTTTAGTTAAATACATCTATGAAGTACTTCATTTAGATACAGTTGTTTCTTCCGATAAATGAATTAAAATTAGACATTCTGATTACTACAATTTTGTCAGATTTTATTTTATTAAAAAGGTACATTTTTGTGTCTGAGTAATCTAAGTACGACTGCTGGTAATGAATGTATGCAGTTTAAAACTTAAAGAAGAAACAATTGAAATGGCCTTATAGGTATTATTTTATAAGTTGAATTCACACACAAAAAACATTAAATAAACTAACTTTATCTGAAATTTACAATGTCTCTCTTTTTCCTGAAAAGGTAGGGATATGGGGTAAGGGGGGCCCCTCTCGATCAAGTGCGCGGGGCTCTAGATTGTCTTGATGCGGCTTGTACAGTACTTGTTTCTCTTCTCTTTCTCATCAGTTATCTCCTGTATCTCTCTACTTTCGTTCTTCACGTCTCTTCTTTTTTTTCTACAGATTTCAACTTTGCTAATGGTGATAATATTAAAATAATGATGAAAACAGTTTTAGTGATAATGATAAAAGTATATCAACACTTATAACGGAAATAATAATAATAATAATAATAATAATAATAATAATAATAATAATAATAATAATAATAATAATAATAATAATAATAATAATAATAATAAAAATAATAATAATATTAATAATAATAATAATAATGGCACAGATATTAAATTCTTGGCCGATTATGACTATTATACGACTTTTTCTACTCTGATACTTTTCCGAAAAGTAGAAAATCTATCTACTTTTCGGGAAAGTAGATAACCAACTTTCCCGGAAAGTAGATATTTCCCATTTTTTATGATACAAATTTCCCGTTTTCTATGATAATCTACTTCGCAAAATTAGGTAATATTTCCCAAAAAGTCGATAATCTACTTCCCGAAAAGTGACCCCCCCCCACCCCCCAGCTCAGTGAGCTACCACTAGATGAACTTTTTTTACGGGTATTAGCCCACCCGGGCACAGGTCACCGAGCCACATCGGGGCTTGGAGGGCGAAAAAAAATG